GGATGAATCTTGGAAATGTAAGTTTCAACAACAAAAAGCAAGTTGCAGAGATTATATACTCTATAATTTCATTTACGTACATTTGGAAAGTGGAAGACTAAACCATACATTGTTTAGAGTTATGTACAGTCATGGAAAACAAAAGTAAGAGAATGATGAACACAAAATTGAGAATATACATCAATTTTGGGTGGGAAATAAAGAAGAAATATTAAGGGTAGTGGTTGTTTCTGAAGAGGTTAGGGAAGGGGGATATCACTGGGGTAGACCACATGGCGGGTTTCAAAGACACTAGGAATTTGTATTTCTTCAGCTGCATGGTAGCATTTTATTGCTATTCTTTAAATCTTACACGTAAAAAAATATTCTTTTGTATGGATTAAATATTTAACAAATATTAAGTCTGTTATTGCTTTATTTTCTTTGTTAGGCTCACACTTTTTCTTTTATTACATGACTTCTAACATTTACAAAAATATCTTGGGGATTTCATAGCAATAGTTTATTTAGTCTATTTATTAAATGAGGAAGAATTCTCTTTTTTGCTTTACTAAGTTTTTCCAACTAGGTAAAGCACATATACTTTACTTCTTCCATTAATGTTTTATTATTTTCTTTGAAAAGTTACTATTGTAGCCCAAGTATATCCAATAATTAAATAACAATGCTTTCACTATTATTGTGAATGAAAACTGTTCCCTGTGTTTTTGAACTGAGACACTGGCTAAAACTCACTGATTTCCTCTAGTAACCACTCCCATATCCTTTGTATTTTCCAGATGAGTAAAGATGTGACAGGCAATGTAATATTTTATTTCTTTATTTTCTATATATTATACTTGCTTCTTTTTTTCAGGTAGCTATTGTCAGCATTTCTTATGATACGTAAAATAGGGATGGTGATCACAAAGCTTTGAATTGGAGCCAGAAGACATGGGTTTGAGATCTGGTTCTGCCATCTATTAGCAGAATAACCTTAGGCAAGTTATTTAATTTCGCTGAGGCGGGGTGCAGTGACTCAAGCCTGTAATCCCAGCACTTTGGGAGGCTGAGGCGAGAGATTGCCTGAGCCCAGGGGTTCGAGACCAACCTGGGAAACTTGTTGAGACCTCGTCTCTACAATAAATAAATAAATAATTAGCTGGGCGTGGTAGCGCGCGTGTAGTTCCAGCTATTTGGAAAGCTGAGGCAGAAGGATAGCTGGAACCCAACAGGTCGACACTGGGTTGGCCATGCGTGTGCCACTGCATTCCAGCCTGGGCAATGGAATGAGACTCCAACTCAAACAAACAAACAAACAAAAACTCGCTGAGCCTTGTTTCTGTTTATTCATTTGAAAAATGAGGTGACCGAACTTTTATTGCCAATGTCGTTTCTGGTTCTGAAATAAGGTCATTTTTTTTTTTTTTTGAGTTGGAGTCTCGCTCTGTCGCCTAGACTGGAGTGCAGTGGCCACTCCCGGCAACCGCAGCCTCGACCTGCTGGGCTCCGGCGATCCTATCGCCTCAGCCTTCCGAGTAGCTGGAATTACAGGCAGGTGCTACCATGCCCGGCTGATTTTTTGATTTATTGTAGAGATGAGGTCTTGCTGCCCAGGTGGGTCTCGAACCCACGGGCTCAGGCAATCTACTCACCTCAGCCTCCCAAAGGCGCAGGATTACAGGCTGAGCCACCGAGCCCAGCTTGTCTGTAGTTTTAATCAAGAATAGGCGTTACAGGCTATTGCATACCAAGCTATCATGTATTGGAAAAATTAAATTTGAATTGTCTGTATTTTCTGTATTATGATCAAGCCATTGATTGACTTGGCTCTTGTTGTCCCTGCCTTTCATTTTAAAGATAAATTATCTAATCATCGAAGATGATTCTTTGAATATGAGTGTGGATTTGGTTAGCTGAGATTTCATGTCAGATGTCTGTCCATATGGTCACAAGTGAAATTTTGACCATGGGATTTTTATTCTTTTTTATGTGATGCCCTTGTGTATCTCATTTTTTTAAATTTTAAAATGTTTTGTACACTTTATGTGTATAGGAATTTTTGACTTATTCTTTAAAAATTAAAGAATTATTTGTAACTCCATCAAGGCCATGCATCTTTTCCAGTGCTTACCTTTTTTCTTCTGACAGTCTGCTTACATATTGGACCCCTTTGAGGAAGGCAGCTGGGTGCAGCTGGGAGGCCCCCTGTCTGGGACCGCTCAAAGTTCTGCTACTAACTCCCTCCAGATCCCAGGGCAGGTCACCTCCCCTGAGTTTTCTCATCTGTAAAATGGAAATTGCCACTTGCCCACCGATGGGGTGTGAAGTAGTGGTGGTATCCTTTGTAAAACCCCTGCCTTCTCTCCCAGAGGGGTCTAGTGGCTAGCAGATTGGCAATTTTGGGTTTGTACAGATTCTTGCCCATTTCCACTCAGTCATTAGATAAGATACCATTTTTACCAACTAGATCAGAAAAAAGAGAGCTGAGAGTTATAAGTCGTCACCACATGCTTTTGGAGTATTTATTTCACAGATTCCTTTTTTTCCCTTAATAGTGTCTTTAAGTAGTAAAAGGATAGCTTTGCATAATTTCCTATAGAGCTTTAAAATCTTTTTTTCACCTATTTTTATTCATACCCAATAATAAGAAGTGAGAGAATGCTAACTTATGATAACCCAAGGGTATCTTTTCTTGTTATTGTGGGAGAACCTTTGAAACTTATTTTCTCAAAGATCCCTGTAGATATATTTATAGAGCATTCCCTCCTCCAATCTTTCATGTTTAATTAATTTTTTATGGGGATAAGGGAAATAATTCAGAGCAATTGAGATTAATTTTACTCATTAACAAAAACCTTATAAAAAAGAATGTTCAGTTATATGAACAAGGATATGCAATATTTACTTATTTCTCCTTCCTAGAGCATGAACTTACGAGCACAGAAACTTTTTTGTGTGTGTTCAGTTCTTAGATCAGAGCATAGCATATAGTAGATGCTCAATAAATACTTGTTAAATTCATGACTATAGGATAGTTTTCATTCTTGATTTTAATAACATGTGCATACTTTTCTTTATTAATATTATTAATGGAACTACCAGCTTATTAATTAACTTTCTGTAAAACATATGAATATTATTTCTGCTATGGAAACTGTGACTTTTCTTTCTCAATTTTACTCATTCCTGCCCCTGGGCTAAGGTACTGAAATGCCTTTCCTTTTTTTCTATTAATCTTCTCCACCACCTCCTTCTATGCCCTTGGAAAGCTTCTATTCATATCTTCTTCTTTTCTTTCTTTCTCTTTCTCATCACTCATGTATAGCCCATCCATTAATTCAAAAAGTTATTATTCAAATATGCACCTACTATTATCTGCCAGACTACGAGGAAGAGGAGGAGATGGGGATGAGCAAGACCTACACAATCCCTGTGGTCGTGGAATTTATAGTGTGACCGGGAAGACAGACCAAAAGAGATATTTCACAAATATATAATCTCGAGTTACAGTAAATGCTATGAAGGCAAAGCTTGGGATAGCATGGAGCTCTAGAAAAGGCTTCTCTGAGGCCATTTTAGCTGGGCTCTAAAGGAAAAATCGTAGTTGGCAGATTTGGGGCCTCAGGGAACAGCATGGGAAAGGCAGGAGGTGGGGCTATGGAAGCAGGGTTTACCTGGGGAGCAGGATCAACAGGGGCAATGAACACAGTGAGTGCAGTGGATGGTGGAGCCAGGGGCCTCCAAGGGCATGGTCAGTATCCACCTTCAGTCATGGCTCCTTCTCCAGGACCTGCCTGGCAGGATCCTTCACTGTGACAAATGGCATTGGTATCTTGGTTGCCCACAAGTGGTCTGTGCTACAGATTCCTTTTTTGGATTCGGAAATCATTTAAGAACAAATCTAAAATTGTATGTCATCGGTAGCTGTGATTTTGGGTAAGTCACTTAACCCTCAGAACCTCAGTTTTTCTGAAATGGGGGTAATCATGTCTACTCCACGGGGTCCTCTGTGACCTCCCAGGTCATCCTGTGATCATCTGTTGGAGGCCTGTCTTCCTCCTCAGACTGAGAGCCTGAGTTAGGGTGGGTCCAACTCGCCTGTGTACTTCTGGCTTCTGTTACTGAGCCTGCAAGGAATTAGGGCATTTGGGGGGGTCTTCTTAGAAGAGGGAACTCCAGGACTGGGCCCAAAAGATAGGCTGGATTTGAGAGTTGGGGGAGAGCTGTAGAGGTGCAGACATGCCTGGCATCTGGAAAGTCACCAGGGAAGACAGAAGCACAGAGGTGATAACAACAATCTCATAGTAACATTAGTAAAAGTGTTAACTTATTTGACCTTTACCATGTGCCAGACACTGTTCTAAATGTTCTATATATATTAACTCATTCATCCTTTCAGTTGCCCTGAGAGGTAGGTACTATTATTATTCCCATTTTTTTTTTTTTTTGAGTTGGAGTCTCACTCTGTCGCCCAGACTGGAGTGCAGTGGCTGCTCCTGGCCACCACAGCCTCAACCTGCTGGGCTCCGGCGATCCTTCCACCTCAGCCTTCCGAGTAGCCGGAATTACAGGCATGCGCTACCACGCCCAGCTGATTTTTTGATTTTATTGTAGAGATGAGGTCTCGCCTGCCCAGGCGGGTCTCGAACCCGCGGGCTCAGGCAATCCACTCATCTCAGCCTCCCAAAGGCGGAGGATTACAGGCTGAGCCACCGAGCCCGGCTATATTGTTCCCTTTTAAAAATGAGCAAATTGAGGCATGGTGAGATTAAGTATCTTGCCCAAGGTCATAAAGCTAACAAGTGTTAGAACCTGGATTTAAGACCAGGCATTGTGGCTTCTGAGTATAAGAGGCAATGAATGGAAGGAAGTGGAGTGGGCATTAAACAACAGGCTAGGAGGCCCACCCAGTCATTATCCTATTGACTCTGGGAGCCAAGAAAGGCTTTCAAAGGAGGGAGTGCTAAGGCTGTGGCATTGGCCTGGAGAGCTGACATGGCCATCCCTTTTTCCTACAGAAACCATGCACGGAGCAGCCCCTGTACAGCAGCAGTCTGTGGGGTCCAGTGGTCGATGGCTGTGACTGTGTGGCTGAGGGCCTGTGGTTGCCGCAACTACACGTAGGGGACTGGCTGGTCTTTGACAACATGGGCGCCTACACCATGGGCACAGGATCCCCCCCTAGGGAGACCCAGGCTTGCCGTATCACCTATGCCATGTCCCGAGTGACCTGGTAAGGGGGCCCTGCTGGGGAATGCCGGGGAGCTGGGCAGCAATAATGAGAGAAGCCTGAGCTCTAAGACTCTGCTTTCGTGTAATCCAGTCTGCTGAGTAGCTCTTGGCTGCTGATTCCAGGTGAGGCCTGTGCTTGGCTCCTGGCTGTGGCCATGAGTGAGGCTGAGCTTCCTTGAGGAGCTCACAGCACCATGAGAGACACAGAGAAGCAGACAGGCACTCATGATAGTACTGTGCTGGGTGGAAGTGCAGAGCCCTCCCTGAGCAAGCAGGAGTCTCAGCCAGCAGGAGGCAGGAGGGGTAGGCAGGAGCTTCCTGGCAGAAGGAACAGAGAGCAAGCTGAGGTGTGTTCAAGGCACTTGTGGAAGTTGGTTGTGACTGAAGAAGGAGGAAGGGCTAGATCTGGGAAGGCCTTGAGGGCCAAGTGAAAGACTTCGAGAGCGGCGGGAAGCATGGGCCAGTTTGAAACAGGGGCTTAACATAGTCTGATTTGCATTTTGGAAAGACCACCTTAGCTTCTTGTGTAGATTAAGGGAGGACAAGGGCAGATGCAGGCAGAGCTGATCAGTTGGGCAGCTGCCCTGAGACCCAGGAAAGACACTGGCCATCAAGAAGGTAGGAATGCCACCATCAAACCTCAGACTTGATGGGGCATCAGTAAATTCACATTTCATTCATCCGTTCAACAAACTTTTGTTGTTTCTACTCCATGCAGGGAGTAGGAAAGACTGATATAACCATTCTACTGTCAGGTGGTTTGACAAGGCCTAAAAAGTAAATTCAATAAACAGGCCCCATGCAGGCTTCCCTATCCCATCCCTGGCTCTGTCATCAGCAATCACAGATGAGATTGCAGAGAGTTAGCTACACTCATCACTAGGAACAAAACATTCTGATGCATTGAAATGGACATGTCAATAAATTCCCCATATCAAAGGGGCCTCATCAAAATGTTCTGCTTTAGTGCCTGGCTCTGTATGGGGTCTTGGGGGGTACTTGAGTATCTAAGGCAGCATGATGAGCCAAGGTGCAGACCTGCACACACAGACACTGGCACAGAGAGTGACAAGGTCACTGGGGAGGGAGGGACAGTGAACTGAAGAGGGGCGGTCAGGGAAATTTCTCAGGAAGCACTGCCTTCCCTGGTAAGGAGGAGTGCCAGGCAAGCCAAGAGGACACGGTGGTCTGGGCCAAGAGGTGAAGAGGCTTGAAAGAGTCTAGATTATTCAAAGAACTGCAGATAGCTCTGCCTAGCCCTGTCTACATGCAAGGAGTGGTATGTGGGGAAGACTGGCTTAAGAAGGTCCAGATGGGGCAACCGTCTCGGGTCCCCTCCCACTGTGGAAGCTTTTCTGTCCTCTCAATAAATCCTGCACTTAATCTTGAAGGCAGTAGGGAGCCATTGAGGATCAACTGGATCAATTCATTTTTAATGATAAGGAGACAGAGGTTCAGTCAGAGGGTACCTGGCCCAGAGAGCCTCCCTCAAGGAAGGGACCAGTCTGACTGGGCTCTGTATAAAGATACTATTGATTTACTACTGTTGAACCGTCTGTGCCAGCAAAGGAGACCTTCCTGCAGGTGGGGGTCTGGGATGCACTGAAAGTATATGAGGAGGATCTGGACAGAAGAGGGAGGGTCTGGTGAGGAAGCAGACCCCAAAACAAGTTAAGGACAAGCTGGCACAGCCCCTGTGGGCTTCTTGACACTGAACCCCATCCCCATCCTCCCACCTGGCGTCCACCCCTTCCCACCAAGTAAGTGCCTGCTGCGTGCCAGCCTGCTGCTGGGGTACCAGCAGTGAGCAGCTCAGATGTATTCCCTGCCCTGCTGTAGTTGAAGGAATGTCAGGGCACAGATATTGAACTCTAATTGTTATTAAGGAGAGGTACATTGTGCGTTTGGCTCTGTTGTGTCCTGGCTTCCCTGAGATTGTCACCGAAGCTGAGACCTGAAGGCTGAGGAGGAATTAGCCATGTGAGGGTTGATGATGCATGGGCACAGGCCTGGGATGGGATGTGTAAGAACTCAAAAGATGGCCATTGTGGATGGCACCCATGAGGTATGGATGAGCGTGACTGGGGGTGTGGTGGGAGAAACAGGTAGGCTGGATCTCACGGGGACTGACTGGAGGGAAGCTGCTGGTGGTTCAAGAGCAGGGGCTTGCCTTTTGGAAAGATGAACCCCGGGCCAGGGCTGAGCTGTATGGAGGGGGCAAGAGCAGACCAGGGAGACTGAGTGGTTCTGGCTGGAGACGGGGTCTGCGGGGATGGAGACAAGTGGGTACGTGTGAGGATGTCCAGGAGCTGAGCTCAGCAGTGCTCAACTGGGTATGAGAACAAGATTCCCCTGTGGTGAGAGCAGCTGCTCCAATGCTGGAACCATTATCAACATGGGCATGTAAGAGAGAGTTTGTGGGATTGTTTGAGGGGCAGGACATGATTTTTGTTGCTAACCCTGGGGTGTGAAGGATGTGGGCTTTGTAGTGAGAGAGCCAGTCGTAGGTGTACCACCTACTGGGGATGTGATCTTGCACGAGTCACTTCCCTCTGAGTCTCAATTACCTCATCAGTGTAATGGGGACAATAATGCCTCTCTCACTGGATTTTTGGGAAAATACAATTCGATAATATAAGGTAAAGTGCCTGGCACAAGGTCTGGCATGTAGTAAGCGCTCAGTAGTTGTGGGTTCCTTTCCCCTGTTGGGGTGTGGGGACCACAAAGGAGGAGGGAGTAGTGGGGGATGGGGTCAGCAGACCTGCCCCTGCCCTCAGCTGTGCTTGAGTTTAGGCGAGAACTCTGTGCCCAATGGGCCTGGGTCTCCAGGTACAAGGGCCTTCAGGCTCCATGCTGGCAGCCTCCACCACCTGTCTCTCACCCCCCAGGGAAGCACTGCAAGGGCAGCTGATGCCTGCTGAACGGGATGAGGACACTGAGGACGTGTGCAAGCCCCTGTCCTGCGGTTGGGAGATCACAGACACCTTGTGCATGGGCCCTGTCTTCACCCCGGCGAGCATCATGTGAGCGGGCCCGTTCCCCCCGGAGAACCCCAGCGGGGCCGCAAAGATGCCTCTGGAAGAGGTGGGGAAGACGGCAGGCGAGGACACCCTGTGGCCAGGACTCTGGTGCCCACTCTGCCGCCCCCACACTCCACCTGTAGTGTTTCTGCCCTGTAAATAGGACCAGTCTTACACTTGCTGTAGTTCAAGTATGCAACATAAATCCTGTCCCTTCCAGCTGTGTCCGCCTTATCTGCAGCGCAAGGGGCCTGGTCAGCCAGGTGTGGGGGTGTTCTTGGGGTCTCCCTCCGTCTCCTTCCCACCTTTGTAAATATAATGCAAATAAATATTTAGGTTTTTTAATACTCCAGTGGAATCCAGAAGTTTGATTCACAAGGCAGCCTGGGCTAGGCCTGGGTCGAGACTTCCCCACCAGGCATTGATGAGCCCATGCCCTCTGCCTCAGTCCAGACCTCACTCTCAAGCCCCAGTTGCAGTGAGGGCTCCCATCCCCACCAGTACTCACCTTTTCAGACTCACCTCTCCTCCTCAGGTGCCTCCAGACCTGGCATAATGAGACTAGGGGAGCTGGAAGGAGTTGAGATGGGCGGTCACGTGTTTCACAGCCATTGAGTGGCCTCTATGTGAACCCAACACCCAGCCTCAGGACTGGCCCAGAGTAGGGCAACTGAGTATTTGATACAGTAGTGGAAATTCATACGAGAGATAAAGAGACAAGAAATGGGTGCCCAGGAGGGTCTGAGTAGGGCCACCCTTGCTCTCCTTGCAGTTTGGCATGGCAATAAGTAATGCCAACAAATTGTGGTCAGTTTTGCTTATTCAGATGTGGTCAGTTAGGGTATTTCTGTGTCCAGTGCCGACCACCCTGACGTCCCCTCAGACTGGAAGTGTTTATCAGGACAAAGGCTCCTTCACACTGCCAGAGACTCAAATTATGCATTTGGCGAGGCTGTGAGCTGCTGAGCAAAGGAGTTCAGAATTTAGAGTTCCCCAGCTGTCGCAGGGGACTCTAAAGAGTTTTCTCTTGCAATTAAACAATTTGATATATTATTCACATGACATAAAAGTCACCATTTAAAAGTGAAGTCAATTGCCTTTAATATATTTTATTTTACTTTTTTTTTCTTTTTTTAGTCAGAGTCTCATTCTGTTGTCCAGGCTTGAGTACAGTGGCATGATCACAGCTCACCACAGCCTTGGCCTGCAGAGCTCAAGTGACCCTTCTCTTCGGCCTTCTGAGTAGCTGGGACTACCTGTGCACCACCACACCTGACTAATTAAAAAAAATGTTTTTGTAGCGATAAGGTCACATTATATTGCCCAGGCTGGTCTTGAACTCCTGGGCTCAAGCGATCCTCCCACCTTGGCCTTGCAAAGTGCTGTGATTACAGTCATGAGCCACCACACTTGGCTGCCTTTAGTATATTCACAGAGTTGTGTAACCATTGCCACTATCAATTCTAGTACATTTTCATCACTCCAAAAGAAATTCCATACATTAGCAGTCACTCTCCATTTTCCCTCTTCCCAGTCCTTGACAACACTAATGTACTTTCCACCCCTATGGATTTGCTTCTTGTGGACATTTCATCATGGTGGCTGTTCTGCCTTTCTGGAGCTTCTCTTTGGGTAAGCCTGGCCACCCTGCTTCAGTATCACAGCCAGTCTCGTGAGGCATGTGTGGTCTCATGAGGCAATGTGTCACGTGTTTGGAGTAATGCTTGCCTAGAACAGGGATGTCTCCCTTTTTCAGACTGGGCTCAGATTTTGGTACTTTGACAATAAATAGGCTGAAAGGTCAGGACATCAAGAAATTGAGAGGGCAATCAGAAAGGGCTACTCTACTGCTCCCTGGGGACCCACCCAAGCCATTTTACAGCAATCACACATGGGTCCAGTGCTCTGTCAGACTGTTTCTGAAATCTTTTCCATTTTGAATGCCCAAGCAGATCTGGACTCACTTACACTTCTTTTTGGGGGGCGGGGAGGTAAACACAAGTTTTTCTGCTGCCAATGGCACAGGAGTCCTGGGGAGAAGTGGCTGGCTGCATAGAGATCCAGGAGTAACTTGTTCCCTCATCGGAGCAGGTTGTGGGGATGGGGGTGGGGTAGTGCTCTGTGGATTTTGAAGTGACAGTAGCTGGCATGGAATTTGAACAGATTTTTCACTGGAGATTTTCTAGTATTTCCTGTTCCATTTGTGATGAGAATGTGAAATTTACTTTTCTGAGAAAGATACACACAGAACTTGATGTGACTTGAGAATAATAATTAACAGTCATTTATTTTCAGTTATTTGGGTACTGTTTTCCTTATTTCCACCCTTTTCTAAAGAGAAAGAAGGCGGGGCAGGGGGGAGCATTAAACACGGAGACTGTTCGAGGACTTCGGGCCTGTGCAAGGGAGTCTGCCCTGGGGTCTCCCGAATGCAGGCTGCACAGGCATTGCTTCCTCTAAGCTCCTCCCTAAGTGACCTGCTGGCAGTGGCCCCTTTTGCCATTTAGCTGCCTCAGAAGTCACACGTTCTTTTTGGCCTCTCATGGAACCATCCTGTCTTGGGACCTCACCTGAGGGACAGCCTCCTCCCAACCCCTCCCCCACAGCCCACCTGTACCTCCTGCATCTCCTCCTGTGTGTTCACTGGCACTTTCTCTCATTCCTCTGGGAGGTGAACAGCCCTGCTACTGCCCTCTCCCACTCAGGGATGCCCCCTTATTCCCCCTTCCCCTCCACAGTCTACCCTCCACTCTGCAGCCAGACGCTGTCATTTCTGTGACTGCATTTCACCAAAAATGAAGTTTAAAGTCCTCAACTGACTGCCTCTCTGACTTCTACTCTTCCACCTGCACACTGGTGTCCTCTCTGTTCCTCAGACACTATACTACTGGCCTGTATTTACTGTCCTCTCTCTAGAATGATCTTCCAGGGTTATCTATGGGGCTCATTCACTTCACTCATGTTCTGCTCAAATGTTTTCTTTGGGTGAAGCCTTCTCAGATCACCCTTTAGAAAACAGCATTTCCAGGCAACCCTTCAGGTTCCCCCCCACTGTGGGAGCTTTTCTGTCCTCTCAATAAAGCCTGCTTTCAAAAAAAAAGGAAGAAAGAAAAGAGAAGAAAACAGCACTTCCCAGTCTCTCTCCTTTCCCTGAACTGGTTTCCTTTTTCTTGATAACATCAATTATCCCTCAATATACTCCATAATATGTTTGTCTGTGTATCCTGTCAGCCCTTCTAGAATGTGAGCTTCTTGGCAGCAGGGGCCTTGTTTACTTTTAACACTGTGGTATCCTCATCACTTAGAACAGAGTAGGTGCTCAAAAAGTATATGCCAAATGGGTAACTGAGTAAAAAATAACCCTTAACCTGTTTGAATCTGTTTACTTATTTGTAAAATGTGGCTGCAAGGCCGGGCTCGGTGGCTCAGCCTGTAATCCCAGCACTTTGGGAGGCCGAGGCGAGTGGATTGCCTGAGCCCACAGGTTCGAGACCTCATCTCTACAATAAATAAAAAATTAGCCGGGTGTAGTAGTGCGTGCCTATAGTTCCAGCTACTTGGAAGGCTGAGGTGGAAGGATCGCCTGAGCCCAACAGGTCAAGGCTGCAGTGGCCGTGAGCGTGCCACTGCACTCCAGCCTGGGTGACAGAGTGAGACTCCAACTAAAAAAAAAAAATGTGGCTGCAAAATGTATTTCCCTCAGAAGGTCACTGTGAAAATTAAATAAGAAAATGGGTATAAAGTACTCAGCCTAGGGCCTAGCATACTATTAGGTGCTCAATAAATGATATCAAAAGGTAATTCCTTGAGCATTTATTGAGCACTTAATGTGGTCACGCCCTGTGGTGTGACGTGGGGCTGAGGCCCTATGAGTGCTTGGGAGCTCATAGTGCAGTGTGGTCATAGAGGACCTTGAATTACAGAGCCAGGAACCTGAACTTAATTCTGTAAGCTGTAGGAAACTCTGTATGCTTCTGCAGAAGCATGACAGGACCTTTGGGAACATAACTGAAAGTGTATTCAAAGCGGCAGAAGGAGGAGCATGCACTTCCTTCATCGACCCCCGCTGCCCCAGATGGGGAAAGGCAGGCCCAGCTAGGGAGCCTGGTGGGGGCTAGAGGGACACAGCTCTCATCTCTGTTCATCTGTGTTCAGGAGGGAGATGGTGGCTCTCTGGGTGGGTGTCATCCCCCACCTAGGAAATCCATCAGCCCAAGCCAGCTCATTCTAGCTGTAAAGGGATCATAGGGGAGGTAAAAGGATGGGTGTTCCATGCATCCCTTTGCTCCATTTTAAACTCTCTTCCTGGCACCTCTTGGATAAGCAGTTAAGCCTGTGTAAATTCAACCAGTACAGTTATCTGATATAGCCTTCTAGTGGTCAGAGGGACCTTTTTGAAATGTGAATCTGGGCTTGTCGGTTCCCTGCTGAAAACCCTTCGGCTGATTCCTACTGCCATATCAATAAACATGAAATGGCCTGATGCCCCTGCCCACCTCTCCAACCTCATCTCATGCCACTCTTCTCGCTTCAGCTGCTTACATCTTCTCGTTTCAGCTGCTCACATTTACCGACTTCTTTCCTGCCTACACGCCTTTGCCCTTGTTTTCCTTAGTTTTTCCAGGCCTGGCTCATCTTGAAGGCCTGGACTTGAATGCTGCCTTTGCAAGAAAGCCTTTTATGAACACCTGGTCAAAGTGGCCCTCACCTAGTTACGTGGAGTCACATTTTACAGGAACTGGGTTGTAAAGACAATATCTAATGTAAGAAACACATGGTCAAAATTACACTGAAAGTCCCTTACAATGCAATTACACTGGAAACTAGTACCTTAAGTTCCCTTCCCATTTCTAGAACATGCTGGGCACACTTCCTCAGACCCCCAAATATCCATATGGATCTCTCTCCCTCACCCCTTCAAGTCTCCCCTCAAATGTCACCTTCTCAGTGGGGCCTTCCTCCCACCCTCTTTAAAACTGTAACAATTCCACTCCCACCCCAGCACTCCATGATCCCCTTTACAGTCTTTCTTTTCCCCTCTTACTATATATTTTACTTAGAATTAAGCTTGGAGGGCAGAGATGTGTTTATCACTGTCTCCACAGTACCTAGAATACTGCCCTACACATGCGAGAAATAACCATTGACTGAAGAAATATATCAGGTCTCAGCTTGGTTATCTCTTCTTTTTCTTTTCCTTTGGATGCCTTGGTTGGGTGTTGGTCCTCTGGACCTTCAGGCATTCTGTATTTATCCCATAAGAGAACCACTGATCACAACATATTGCAACTTTTCTCTTACATACCTGTCTTCCTGCATCTAATCTTGTTAATTTCACAGATAGAGTGT